AAGACAGTCTCATCTTCCAGCCTTGAACGGTTTCACCCACAGAAATCCCCATCACTGTCTTCATCTTAATTGTTCTCCATTCCTTCAGTCTTCAACATTTTCCATAGTGCTGCTCCCTTCCACATTTCTGGCACAGATGTGATGCAGCCCAGGTCTGTGAGATGCTTCCTCTAGGGTTGTTCACAGAAATCAGTAAAAAACCACCAGTTTGGTTTTTTTTCCCCCACATTTTGCATTTGTTTAATTCCTTGACAGCTGCCTTCTTTGCTTGATCTCTGAGGGCAATAACCCAGAAAGCCCCAAAGCAATTTACTTATTGGCTGTGACTCCAAAATAGATGAAGGTGATTTTGACAGAACTTCTCTCCTTGGTCTTTCTGATCAAACAATAACTGCTGCTCTGTCAGACTGCCTCATTCCCCATCTCTACTGGCACTTGTCAGCCCCCAGGCTGCTCAGCAGAGCCACCAGCACCTTCCTGCCTGGTCCCTGCTGAGCTGCAGGGCTGCAGAAGTGGGAATCACTTCCCCACCATCACTCACAACTCAAAATTTGGCCATTGCCTAGGGCCCTGTAACCAGTGTCTCGGAACCACTTGTGGTTTTTGTAATTACACTTCTCCACATTCACTGGCACCACATGACACTGCCACCCCTGTGCCCCAGCTCTAGCAGCAGAGGTTTTATGGGTTTAATATTTGTAGCAATGAAGCCCAAGGGAATGGAAAGAAGTTTTTCACAGTTTAAGTAGGAGGATCACTTTCTTTTAGCTTTGTTTTTTAATATATGAAGCCTCACAGTTCTTTTCTGTTCACAGGACTAAGGGAGCTGCCCAGTGAGGCTGTGTGAGAGGGATGAGCTGCAAGAAGATGTCATGGACATCAGCCATGATGTACCCAGCCTGTACTAACCTGGCCATGGAGCTGCACAGACACCCCTTTCCAAAAACCCCTTTCCCTGCCAGCACCCAGGGATATGGCCATTCCCATTTGGGGATGTCAAGAAAATGAAGATTTCTCTTTGCTGATGTTTCAAAGAGTGGGTGGTGGCAGGTATTCATAAAGGATGGTGGTGCCAGGTGATATCAGCAGAGAAGGAAATGCTGATGTGTGCTAAAAGAACAAAACATGGACTTTAAAAAAAAAAAAATCAATGTCTTTGGCCATCAAAACATTTATATTTAAGTCAAGATGGAAGAAAATATTTTTATAAGTGTCAAGCTGGGTAGCCCCTTACACACAAGCCTCAGTCACATCCTGAACATCACAGTTACTGAAGGAGGCTGTAAAGGGAATATTAACCAGTCATCACAGCAAACCTCACAATTTTGACAACCTCACAACTTTGACAACAGAATCCCCCAGTGACTGCATTGGGCATGTGAAAAATATTTTTGTGATTCACGTAAACTGGCAATGGACTCAACATATGCTTGTATCTGCTGTGTTGAAAGAGGACACGTTCCCTGGCATAACTACAAAGAACAGTTTTGAAACTTTCTGACTGAATAGCCAAATAAAGCATTGAAAAAGAAAATAGAAGTATAGTAGAGTCAAGAGATGAGGTGGCAAAAATGACTGATGCTTAGAATAAAATAGAGGAAGCAAAAATAAAGCTAAAGGATATTGCAACAAAGTGANAAAAAAAAAAAAAAAAAAAAAAAAAGAGGAAAAAGAAAAATTAAAAATTCTGGGAACCATTAGACAATTTACCCCCTCCCTATCAAGGGCAGGAAACTCCCTCCTCTCCTGAGAGGCCCTGGAGCCTCCACACTATCACACACAGCTCCACCACTATCACCACCATCTTGTAGGACTTGGAGCAACAGAAGAGAACAATGTGCACGGATCAGTTATCCCCTTCCATGGAAGACTCAACAGTACCACAAGGCCCCACAGTTTTATTATCCCTCATTTGCCTACCAGTGCAGAAATGGAATTCCATATTAATTGACCATTGGTGGAATAATTTGTTTGAAGGAGCCTGGTGGAAGAAGTTGGGGTTCACGTTGCTTTGTTCTGCATTAGGCCTGTTGTTTATACCGTGTATGATTCCATGCTTTATTAAGCTAATACATTTAGTAATCCAGGGAATGCAGATTTCAGCAATGCTCACAAACCCTAAAATAACAACCATGGGAAAAAAACCTCACTCCCTTATGATAGTCAAGGCCAAAGCAGAACCAAATATAACTGTGACCCAAAAAGTATTAGCTTGATTTAAAGCAGAGCCACAAATCAATAATATAAAGAAAAAGGGGAGGGATTGTAGAAAATGTTTTTGCGCTTCATGTCAATTGGCAATGGAATCAGCAAATGCTCACATCTGCTGCATCGAAAGTGGATGCATTCCCTGGGATAACTACAAAGAATGGTTTTGAAACTTTCTGTTTCAAGAAATAACCAAAATAAGCATCGAGAAAGAAAACAGAATAAGTATAGTAGAGTCAAGAGATGAGGTGGCAAAAATGACTGATGCTTAGAATAAAATAGAGGAAGCTGTGGTAAAGCTAAAGGATATTGCAACAAAGTGACTAAATGCTTATGTACAACAAAAAGCTTGATGCAATTGCACCAGACTAAAATTATTTATCAGACACTGGTGTAGGACCTCCCTCCAGATCACCACGAGCAGGACAGGGAGCCTACAACCACCTGGAAAGATTATGAAATTGCTGGTCCCAGCTTATTGATATTTACTGATTCAGACTACCACAAGCACTCAAAAATGCTTTGTAGGCTTAAACCAGTATATATACTCTGGTGAACTTGTAGTGGTGTGTGCTGTTAGTGGAGCAGTGACAACACGGCAACCCAGCGCTGCTTGCTTGCTTGCTTTAAAATAAAAGATATAAAAAATAAAATTTGGTTTGGAGATCAAAATTTTATATCAGGCAGACAAACATTCCTCCCCAGCCCAGCCCCAGCCCGGTGATTGACACAGAGCAGCTCAGGAACAGGCAGGAGGAGCTGCTTCAGTGGGGTGCTTTAATGCTGTTGTTATCTGCACTAATAACTGCTGGATTGTCTGTGCCACAGAGCAAAGCAGCCAGGGAAATGATTATCTGCAATTATCCTGCACAGTGTTCCAGGTCTGAACCAAAACAAAGCTTTTTACTGCTTTTTTACTGCAGCAGTCTGTCTTGGCTTCCTGATCCCACAAAGCCAGTTCCAGGAATGGGTTTGAGGAAGCAAATGAACCCCAGCTCCCTTCTCAGGACATTTGTGCCAGATTTGTCCCTTCTCCTTTCCCACACACAGTCCACATCCTGAGGACCTGCAGCATCACTGTGAGACAGAGCACTGGGATGAAGTGCTGGAATTGTGTTTGGGTTACAGTCACTCCAGAACACCGAAATACACAACCCCTTGGATTATGTGAGCAAACACGTGTGCCCACACGCCCAGTCCTCCCCACAGAAGGGCAGTAAGGACAGGAGGGGCCATGCCTCCCAAACCCGGGGCTGCAGAGGGCAGGGGTGTGAGGCTCTCTGAGGACACAGAGGGCCTGGTGCAGGCTGACAGTGGAGCCCTAAGGAAACCAAATGGAAAGAGAAGAAGAGAATAATTGTCCTTTAAAACTGACCCAAAGGTGAATGAAATATCATGGGAAGTAGTGAAAAACTATATGGATTGTTGTCTGCCAAAGAACAGCACGAAGTTTCCCAGAGCAAAGGGGAAAATACTATTTGCCACAGCAAGTGAAAGTCTGGGGACAGAGTGCTGCTCTTTGGGCTGAGGCCAAAGCCATTTTATCCACCCAGATTTTTGCAGCCCAGGTTTAAAAATTTGCCTGTGAAATGCTGGAATTGAATCACTCAGCATCAGAATGATCCTTCACACTTTGGATATGCTGCTCAGTGTCTGGGATTAACAGGACATCTCTGCCTTTAATTGAAATCTAATCTAATCAAAAAGAGAGTTCTCCTCTTGTCCTTTCCTCCACTCCACAGGTTAGAGGCCCCTTAGCACAATTGCTCTTTCAATTTGAAAATGCATTTTCCTACAGAGATGTTAGGAGCAAGCATGGAGCTGGCAGCAAATTGTGGCTCCTGCTGACCATCAGGGAGACACTGGATCTCCCAGCCTGACCACCAGGGAGATACGACATACCCCAGCCTCATTGCTGGAAATATCTGGAATCTCCCAATTAAGGCTTCTCCCTCAGGAGTGTCACTGTGCTTGTTTGGGACAGGGATGGCTACAGGAAAGACAGCACGAGGAGGTCACTGCCCCATGCTCAGGGATGCCATTCCTCTGCCCCAGCCCAGGGCAAACGGGAAAAGCTGTGGATCTCACTGGCACCGCTCTGCTCCCATCCTCCTGACGATGAGAAATAAAGGATCCTCACCCTCAGCTCCCCTTGCCCTGGGGGAGCAGTGAAGTCTGTGCCTCGGCTGGGGACAAAGGCACCCACGGTCCGGGGTCCCACTCATGCTGGGGTACGTTCAGCCTCTGCGCCTCCCCACCCTGGCATCTCTCACCTGCACCCCCATCCCCTGCCTGGGCTCCTTTCCCCCTCTTCCCCCTCCTCCTCCTCCTCCTCCTCCTCCTCCTCCTCCTCCCCCGGTCCGGCTCCGCGGCGCGCCGGGACCCGGCGGGCGCAGGCGGCGGATGCCGGCGGAGGCGATGCGGGGTCCCGGGGACCGAGGCAGCCCCGGGGGGCTTTGGGCTGTCCTGGGGGAGGCCTGGTGCTTCCCTGACGTGCTTCCCGGCAGCTGAGGGGAGTCCTGGAGGGCCCCAGGAGCCTGGGGGTTCCGGACAGTCCCGGCTGGCTCCCGGTTGCTCCTGGAGGGTCCCGGGGACTGGGGGGATCCCGGCCGCTCCCTGCACCTCCAGGCGGAGAGTTTGCAGGGGAGAGGGATGCCAGGAGCAGGGAGGCTGCGAGACCTGGGGTGAATCGTGCAGAAAAAGGGGAGGGAGGAGCCGGGGTGGGCGGGAAGGCGGGGAGGGGGTCGGGGCAGCCCCGGCTCCCCGCTGCCGCCGCAGGGTGCGCGGGGCTCCGCCGGCGGCTGCAGGCACGATGGAGAACGGCTCGGCCAGCCCGGGAGCCGCGCTGGGCAGCGGCAACCAGAGCCTGGGCAGGATGCCCCGGCAGCCCCTGGAGCTGCAGGTGGTCACCATCCTGCTGGTGCTGCTCATCTGCGGCGTGGGCATCGCGGGCAACGCCATGGTGGTGCTGGTGGTGCTGCGCACCAAGCACATGGTGACCCCCACCAACTGCTACCTGGTGAGCCTGGCCGTGGCCGACCTCATCGTGCTGCTGGCGGCCGGGCTGCCCAACATCTCCGAAGTGGTGGCTTCTTGGGTGTACGGCTACGCCGGCTGCCTCTGCATCACCTACTTGCAGTACCTGGGCATCAACATCTCCGCCTGGTCCATCGCCGCCTTCACGGTGGAGCGGTACATCGCCATCTGCCACGCCATCAAGGCACAGCTCCTGTGCACCGTGTCCCGCGCCAGGCGCATCATCGCCTCGCTGTGGCTCTTCACCTCCCTCTATTGCCTCATGTGGTTCTTCCTGGTGGACACCACCCAGGTCACCTTCTCGGATGGGGCGCAGGTCACCTGCGGCTACCGAGTCTCCAGAAGCCTTTACATGCCCATTTACTTCTTGGATTTTGCTGTCTTCTATGTCATCCCGCTGGGGCTGGCGGCTGTCCTCTACGGCCTCATTGCCCGCATCCTGTTCGTGAGCCCGCTGCCCGGCACCCCGCAGCGCTCCTTCCTGGGCTCCGTGCACCAGGGCAGCTCCCTCAAGCGCTCCTGCCGGGGCAGCAGGGGCGCCCTGAGCTCCCGCAAGCAGGTAGGGGCTCCCCGCCGGCCGGGCATGCCGGGCTGCAGGCGGCTCTGCCGGCTCGGGGCTTTGAGGGGCATTCTGCCAGGGGCCGAGGTGCCACAGTGCTTTGTTTCCCTTTGTGGAGGGAGTGGGGACTGTTGGTTTGCTGCAAAGGAGCCCCTCAAGCCCAGCTGGGGTCTGGCAGCACAGATGAGCTTCTCCTGCTCTGGTCAGGCTTGGTAGAGCAGGACAGGGCTTCAGGCAGGCAGAGGCAGAAGTGCAGGCACTTTTACTGGCTAATTAATTATTGATTGCCCCCCCGAGGAAGAGAGGGCTGGGTCATGTTGTGCCAGTGGGACTCATCTCTCAGACAATGTCCTGTGCAGGTGAAGTCAGATTTAAAGGAGCAAAGAGAAGGGAGAACTGTCTTCCCTTGGAGCTCAGCCCTGGCTGCAGCCTCCCAGCTGGGTGAGTCACCTCGGAGTCACAGTGATGTGTTTGCATTTTGGTGATTTCTGTGTCTCTCAGCTGCCTGCTGTCTCCCCATGTCCTTCTCCTCCCACCTCCTTCTGGCCTCATTGCTCTGCTCAGATGGACAATCACTGCCTCGTGTCCCACCTCTTTGGACAGGTCAGTATCTAGACATGGGACAGTCCCATTCTGAATAGCCAGGGCCCATTCAGCTTTCCTTTTAAAGGAAAGGGTTGAATCTGGGAGTTGGGCTTTAGTGCTTGAAATCACTAGTTCTGTTGTGATTTCCAGATAGCCCACAGCAGACTTCAGCCTGCCCTGAAGTTCTCCTGTTTCCTGCTCAGGAACCTGTTGCCTGCCTCGCACAGGAACCTCCATTCCCCAGGAGAGACGAGTCAGGGTCACAGAGGGGAAGCAAACAGCTCAGAGAACGTTTATTTCTTCATTAACTTCTAAATCTTTCCAGTCCAGCTTTTCCTCCCTTTTTCTCTGAAAGGTTTAAAGCAAGTGCTGACTTCTTCAAAAGCATTTGCCTGCTCTCCCATGACCACTGGCAGCTGCAGCACCTCAGGTAGGGTGTTTGTTAGTGAAGGCTCTTGACTGGTTGATGGATCTCCCCTTCCAGAGCTGCTGGAGGGGCTGGAGGGGCTGTGCTGCTCCCCCTGCACTGCTGTGCTGTGGACTGGCACAGCTTGCTTCACACCAGTGGGTCAAGTGGCTCCTGGGGCATTCCAGCTCCTGGAAACATCTTGTGCTCTCTTTAGTGTGCAGCAGGAGTTTACTGGAGATTATCATTACTTCCCAAAATATCCTAGCATGCACAGACTTCCCCTGAATGGCCTGACATCACAGTGCTGCCATCATAAGCAATAAAGATGGCACTAAGTTTTTAAACTGTAAAGCAATTTTCCAGGGCTTCAGCTGGTGGGGGTGTGTAGCTCTGGAGGTGCCTCTGAACAGAGGACAGGCACTCACATCAGCATTCCTCCTCTGGCCTCTCTTTATAGGGGAACTGGCTCTTCCAGGCCCCATGCCCAGAGTTCCCTGGGAAAGGTCCTAAAGGGGCTCTCTCAGAGACCATTTTCTCCTGGATGGCTGAAGGAGATTTTCTGTGGCTGTGCTCCTACACAGCCCCAGAACTGCACTGCTTTCGGGGTATGAGGATGCTGCTGTTCTCTCACTGGGCCTTCAAAAGCACCTAAATCCTGAGCAGGACATCACAAGGTGTGAGCTTTGCTGTATTTTATCACTTGTACGAACACCTCGAAGTCCGTATTTCTCCTCCCGGAGAGGGACCACTAGAGGGAGTGAGATTCCTAAAAAAAAAGGATGTACAACTCAGAATGATGGAGCAGAAACAAGGAGGGAGGATGCTGGCTGGGGAGAAGCATCTGTGGCTGCCTGGACAGGGGCAGAGGCTGGACACAGTTTTGTGAGACACCACTTGTACATTCTCTCATATCTTTCCCAAAAGGCAACACACTGTAGCAGCAAACAAGCTTCAGTCTTAGCAACAGCCCCAGCACTCACTGTATCACTGTGAGATCTTATTTTTGGAAGTGTCCTCACATTTCCATTAAACCATACATAGCAAACCCTTCTATTTTGGCCACAGCTTGGTAATAGTCCCTTTCTTGTAGAGAAAGTTTTGTTGCCACAAGAAATGACTCCCAGTTTCTACTCATGGCATTACAGGAAGACATAGTTTCTTTTGATGAAGTAAAAAAGCACTCCAAGAAAAGCTGAGAGACTCTAAATGTCATCCTAGTGCTTATGTCCATACTAAGAACTGGATTATTGCACAACTCCCCTTCTGACGTTTGAAACACCACTGCCTAGACATGCATGTGGCATCATGTCATACTTTAATCATATTTTCCTCTTTGGGGACGTGTCTATTTTGTTAGTATTTGTTTGAGGAGGATTGTCATCATAAATAGCTGTTGAAATTATTAGGATGACTGGTGTTCCAGCACAAACCCCCAGTTTCCTAAAAAAAGCCTATGTTGAGCTGAGGGCAATTACTGCTCACTTCTGAGTTCTCAGTTTCTTTTTGTTCTCAATATGTTTATGTAGTACTCCCCAGTGTGCTGAAGACTAAAGTAACCCATGGTAAGTAGCTAAGTAAGCCCAATATCAGCACAAGTAATGTAAGATTCCTTACAGTCTCCTCTGCTTCCAGGGTTGCTCTGTACCAGGAAACTATTCCCTGGAATTATATAGGTGGTGTAGGAAACCAAGAAACCCTAGGGAAGGAGATTAAATGTATCCCATGACACCCCTAAAACTGAGGTCCCCACCTTTAGACAAGTATTTTCCCCATTGATTTACTGTTACGTACAATTTTCAAATTTGCTTTCTGGTACAGACATTGTCATGGTTATCCTAGCCTATTTCCAGGAGAGTGAATACTATTTCTAAAGAGATTTAGAGGCTCTTCAATGATAGATGAAAACCTATAGTTTCTGGGTTTATTTATGCAAGATTATTTCCTGATTAAAATGGTTTCAGTGAGAAATAACCCCACAGCTTGGGTGTTTCTCTTAAATGCTTAGAGAGAGAAACCATCTCCACCAGTGCTCCAGGTGGAAAAGTTCTGCTGGAGGTTTAGCACCATCTGGATGTTTTTATTTTGCATCTCCCCCCACCCAGGTGACCAAGATGCTGGCTGTCGTGGTGGCCCTCTTCGCCGTGCTGTGGCTGCCCTACCGCACGCTGGTGGTAGTGAACTCCTTCGTGGACCCTCCATACCTGAACACCTGGTTCCTCCTCTTCTGCCGCCTCTGCATCTACCTGAACAGCGCCATCAACCCCATCATCTACAACCTCATGTCACAGAAGTTCAGGGCTGCCTTTAGGAAGTTGTACAAGTGCCAGGAGAAGAGTGCTGAGCACCCTGCCCCGTCCTCCACCCCGGTGTACTACAGTGCAGTGAAGGACTGTTCCCACGACAGCTCTGAGCACAACCTCACCGAGCAGGAGGATCTGAGCAGGCTCCCTGCACCTGCAAAGAAGAGTAAACAAATCCTGTGAGCATGAAGCAATGCAGGCAGTGGGAGTTGTGTGGCTGCACACACTGTGCTGGGAGAGTGCCAAGAGGAATTGCTTTGACATTGCAGCGAGCTTCATTCAATACTTCTTCAGGGCATTTAACAGAACCGATTGTTATAGGCAATTTAATTTGCTTTTCCTTAGCACTAATTTATTCTTGTTTGGTGAAGTGTTAGGCAAGTGTCAATATTTAGCATCTCTAAAGCATCTGTTGTTACATATAGCCACCTCATTTTGTGTTATGTGCAAGTGCTGAGCTGGGCCAAAGCATTGAAAGGAGTCCCCGGAACAGAAGTGCATTCAAGGAAAAAATACACCTCTTTTTTAGAGTGAGTGTCTCCTACCCAGATTGACACAGACACCCCATGGAAACTACTCCTCGAGAGTCCTTTTGAAGTTAATGGGGGCAATTAGGCACTTCGATGTGTCTCCTCTCATCTCCACTCTCCTGTGAGGAATACAAATCCCTACAGAGAAGATGAATGTCACAAGATACGAGGCCATTTGCTGTAAATGGACTCTCAGGGGGAGACTCCTGCATTAGGAAAAACAAAGTTGGGTGTCATGAGCCTCTGTCATGCCTCTGGAAACACCGCAGTGCTGGTAGCACAGAAACCCAAGGTCCAGACCAGATGGATTTGCCACAATGAACAAACTAATAATGAGTGTTCCCTAATTTCTTTTGGATAATTTTACCTTTCCTGTTGAAATTCCTCTGGTTGCTTCAACTGGAAACTGTACTCTTGTCCTTTAAGCCCCAGTGTGGTATAGTCATTACCACAGAGCAGTGTTGCTCTCTGCCCCAGCTACAGGTGCATTTCAATGGCAGGTGAAGAAATTCTCTTATTTCCTGGGAATAACTTGTGAAGTCCATGAAGTGTTTTGTGATTAGTGACACAAATGCTTATTGCTGCTGTCATCTTGAAAGCAAAGTAGATATTCATACCCTGCAGCATCCAGGAGACCAGTCCAAGGGCACTTGCCCCAGACTTGCAAAAGACTATCTGGACTATGAGTAAAATCAAAAAGATTACACATGAGCCAAACCCTTGGGCTCTTGCCAAATAAAACAAGTGTCTGCCACCAGTAAACCTCAAGTGACTGTGAACTATTACTTGAACAGCCTCGCTAGTCAACACTGGATAGAATTTTGCATCCACTTAGGAAAATATGTGTATGGTATTTTCAAGGCCACAAGACATTAATTAACCAATCTGAATCTACAGGAAATCACTTCACTGGGTGAGTCAGGAAAATACCTCAAATCTCTTCAGTGTGTTGGAGCTGTCCAAGACCTATTTTGTTGTGTGTAGAGAGGTTTTGCATGTATGATTATTATATTGCATGTTATTAAACCATCTATGTTACCCCTAAAATAGATACAGGATGAGGGAAGAAAACATTGGCTTTTTGAAATTATTTTAAACATAATGCATTTGGAATTTAAGGATTTGTGTTATTTTGCACTGTTTTGTGTATATTGGATAATGTGAATTTATTGTTGTTGAGAAAGTTCTGCACACAGATTTGGGATTTATTTCTTGAAGAACATGGAGGAGTTTTTACTAACATGAGGATTTGCTTTTAACAATCTTTTTTATAGCACAGACTTCTTTTCCCTCCTTAGAACGGATTTTTCCTCAGGAGCTCAGAAGAAGCCATTGATAAAAGCATGTGCAGACAAACCAGGGCAGTAAGGACCAGGGGAAGGTGGAGGAGGGGGAAGGGGATGCCTGTGTGACTGCTGGTGCCTCCCTGGGACCTTGAGCACAGGCAGCATCCTCTCAGGGCTGGGCTGTCCTGTGTCCTCCACCCTCCACCCTGAGGCTGCGAGTGCAGAGAGCTCGATGTGGGAAGAGGATTTACTGCCAGAGCTTGGAAACCCACCTGCATCCTGACCTAAGGCATTTCTCAGGCATGGGATGTGCAGTTTGACAGACAGCCTTGATGTCTGCAAACACAAGGAGCACCATCATTCTGAAGTATCCCCAGCAGGATGTTTTCCACCTTCTCATCACATTTCCTATCTTCACTCTCCCCCTTTCTGCATCTCCCCCAGATGGAGACACCCTCAAAGCATTATTTTCTTAATTCAATTTCAGCCTCAGGCCAACAGCTAATTGATAGTTCTGAAATACTTGTTCAACATACTTGAGATTTAATTAAAACCTGGTTCTTTTCTCCCCTTTCTGCTTTTAGCTGCCAAGTACTGCATGACCCTTTGCTATTTTTTGAGAAGTAATTGGCAGATAAATCCTCCTGGAACCACAAGATCTCCAACAAATGCACCAGAGCATTAAACTGTAGATGAGGAATGAGTTCCTGGTCCTTCCCCCTGCATGTATTCTGACACTTTAGGAGGAGCTGAGAGACTTTTAGGTGGAAGTGGAGGCAGAAGGTCACCACTCTGCTTGCTACGGAGATGCCACTTGAGAGATACATGCTGCTGGGAAATAAATCACTAGCAGAAAGGAATTAAAATAAATAACTCATCACTGTAACTTCCTTTGGATATTCAGGGTCTGAATAAAAACCTAAATTCCTTATAAGAAATCAGAGAGCTCCCTTGAAGCTTTAGCCTGCATTACCTTATATCTTGCAACATCCCACCCTGCTTGTAAAGTCTCAAGCTGTATTTTACCCTCAGCATTTATTTGTCTCAACAGTGTGAGTGTGGGCTGTGAGTTTATAAACATGCCAGGAAATAAAGAATCTATTGCTCCTAAGTAATTTATTGCATAGAAGTGCGATTCAACATGATCTAACCTTCTACTCTCCTACTAAAGCTCATTATTTCTAACCCTTGCCCTTTCAGGGGCTGTTAACCTGGTAAAACACCATCTGGTTTCTTCAATTACAAACAAGCAAGTCCCTTGGCAGGAGAGGAGGGACCTGGCAGTGCTGCAGAGCCCTGGGGTGAGGGGAAAAAGTTGTGAGCAGTGCAGAGAGGAGGTTGGAGGAGGCAAAGCCTTGGAGAAGAGCTGATGGCAGAGCAGTGAGTGAGGTTTCTGTGCCTGAAGAACCATAGATTGGCTGAAGCTCCTGGCATTCATCAGGGAGTTTCAGTTTAGGAGACACCACATCCAGCACATTTACCTGAATTTGGCTGCTCCCAGTGGTAGAGGCACACAGTGACTGCCTGTATGCAGGGCATGGATGGGACCTCAGCAAGGATTATTTACCCTGGCAAAACACACAGGTTTAAGTAATTTATCAAAATCTGTAGTTCAAGCTCCTATCAGGTTGTTTTCTTTGTCTCTAAATTTGGGTAGTGGGAAATTGGGCAAATAGGGCATCTATGAGAGCCTGTGTCACAGGAGAATGGCCATGCAGGTGGTTTTTTGAGAGAGCCTTTCACCTATGATGCTGGCCAGTGTTCTGAAAGCCAGCCTGCTCTAGGGCCAAATTACAGAGTAACCAACAAAATACCAGCAGTCCCCTAAAAAAGTGATGTAAAGATCATGAGGGCATCCAGTATCTCCCTGCAACCAGAACAGGCTTCTCTGTGGTACCCAACCATGTTTCTAAGATAAAACAGAGATACCTTTAAATTAATAATATTCAGATCACCAAAAATATGATCTGAATGGGCAATTGCTTAAATTTTTAAGAGCCACAAGAAAGAGGGGACCACACATTAGGGAAAGATTTGGATGCAGTCCTTTTTCAATCTGTTCTGGCCCCAGCTGCTTCTTTGAACTAATTAGTTCAAGCAGATTACAATTAAAGAGCTGCTAATAAAACCTGGGGATAGTCCTACAGCAATATTAATGTAATCACTCACAGTTACTTGTTTATATTGCAGGTACTGTTTCCCAAGGCTTCTGGACAGCTCGTAGGCCAGCTCTGCCTCCAGGCTTGCACTCACTCAGGGGTGGCTCCTCAGGACTCTTCAAACCAAGGCAGGAGTTCCAGAACTGCCTTGCGACACACAGTGGATCAAAGCTTGCCAGTCCTGTGTGACTGACTTTAATTGACTAAAATACCCTCAGTTTAGCAGTTAGCCAGCCAGCCCTGCACATTTCTGTCCTGCCAGGGTCTCAAGGAAGATTTCAATGGGAGGGCATTGCCTGTGTCCCAAATCCAGGGTGCTTTCCCAGATACTGCCTGAGGGAGGGAACATCACAGCCACACCACAGGTCCCTGCCATGGGTGATGGGCAGAAGTAATAAGGACAATTTGTGCTTTATAATTGATGAATTTCCTTTAATAGCCACCCTATTAATTGGGCTCTGAGTGTGCTGTTTCTATAGAGACAGGGGATGCTGTGAGTGCACCAGTGGCTGCTCACTGCTCTTCCAATAGGGAATTAATGCCTGAAAACACAAGCTGTGAAGCCTATAAAAACTTAAGCCTCTCAAGGAGAAGGCCCTGGGGTGGTCCTGGTACTAACATGGTTTTGAGGTCCTCAGCAAGGGCCTACTGGGCTCCCAAGTTGGCTGATCCTGTCCTTACAGGCACAGTGTGGGTGGCGGCTCAGAGGAAATAAATTTAAAGCATCTTTTTCCAGCTGTGCAGTGCCAGCATTTCTGACAGAAGAGCAGAGGAAAGGGTTCCACAGTAAGGCCCCTTGTTGCCAGCCCCAAGCTGGGCATGGGATGCCCTTGCTGGTGGTGCCTGGTGCTGGTTCCCTGATGTATTAATGCTCAAGCTAACTTGAGGCTCAAGCTAGCTTCCTCCAGGAAGGGTCCTGAAGCAAAGGCAGTGGTGTGGAGCCAGACCCATTCCTGGCTCCTGGGCCAGAGAGGACCACAGGAACTCTTCTGTACATTTTGGCACCTTCTCAGTGTCAGGGTCACCTTCAACCATCTCTGACCCTTCCTCTTGTGCAAAGATGAAGAGCAAAAGAGAGGGTGGCTCCTGAGAGCCCCCATGCCCCACAGGAACAGTGGAGTACATCGTGGCTGTCCCCAGGCAGGTCACTGTCAGAGGACACTGAGGCTCAGATTGCACCTTCCCTCCCACCAGTGGAGGGTAAGGCTCCTGCCCTTCGACACAGGATCAGGGCAGTGCCTTTAGACTGGTTCTCACATATCAGACACCTCCCTGCCTGCCCTTGGGGACACTTGGCTGGACACTGTGGGGACATTATCCCTGAAACCAGCAGCTATTGAGGCAGAGAGCCCAGCACTGTCCCCCCTACCCTGGGGAAGCTGCAGACTTTTTGTTCTGCCTTTATTAATACTTTAAAAGCAATGTGTCATTGCTTTAGCAGCAGACCCACCTCCCTCCCTGCTGCCTCTGTAACACATGAGCCAAGGACCTGCTCCATTCATCAGCCTGAGATTTATGAGGTGCACAAGGCTCCAGTTACCCTGCTGCCCTGACTGATGAATGAGATGTAGTTCCTTCCATACCAGAAGCAAAGCAAGCCCAGAGGAGAGTAAAGCCATAATTTCATCAAACTCAGCCCCTTCAGTCTCTACTAGGACATGAAATCTTCTGCCTTCAGACCCCTCGCACCCACAGAAGCCAGGGGCAGCACTCCACCCCATGGAGGCTGAGCCTGTGTCCCCCCAGCCTCTCTGCACAGTCCGGCTTTGCTCATGTGAGACACTCCAGAAATAGAAAAAGGATTGAAGGTTCCAGCTACTCTGGATTCCTCAGGCCCAGGGGCCCTGCTGCCCTGGGCTGGTGCTGGGCTCTGCTCATCCATCCTCCCCCATAAATCACCCTGCTGCCATTTCCCTCCACCTCGTGCCTGGCTTTCCTCTCACCCGGGCTGTCTCCAGAGGCTGAGCGAGAGGATGGGGCTCAGGCAGTGGAGAATCACTCCTCCCCAAAGCCAGGGGCAGCAGCCAGTGGCACACGGCTCAGAATGAGCCTGGCAGCAGCCCTGGGGTCGGGAGGCAGCAGAGGGACCTGGCAGCAGCCATCTGCAAGGCCTGGGCAGGCTCTGGGCCAGCGAGCTGCCTTTCCTCCTCGCCCTGTGCAGCCCCTGCCAGAGGCCAGCACGATGGGAGCACATAGAGTGTTCTCAGAGAGTTGCAGAGTCCTTAAAGGCTGCCTAAAAGCATTTAGTGAAAACAACTCTCTTTGAAAAGTACCCCCATCAATTAAAAAAATGCAAATTTTCGAAACAGAGAATTAAGAAAAAGCTAAAAAACATCCAGACGCCACCAGTGAAATTCTGCATTACTCTCTGCTTTAAACTGGCGTGAATGTGCCACCATGGAAAGAAACTTGGAGAGTCCCCTGCAAAAATCCACATGGATAGAGTGAGCAGATAACTGTTTATTATTGCACATAATCCAGCAGAACAACCAACAGAAAATTCTGGACAGTAGTACACAGATTGTAGTAAACAGCTAGCAAAATCTGTGATGAAGGTACTTTTGTGTGAAGAGTGAAAGGTATCTGCATCTTTGTAAGACCTGAAAAGTATAACACAAAATTCTAGTCATTTTTGAAAGCATGCAGTTTGAGGTAAATCTGGTATTTTGCATC